AAACAAACATCTAGATGGACCAACTCTGTAGTTAAACACTAAAACACGTGAGCTTTGTATGTACCCAGAAGTCATTGATATACATAATATGTAGCAAACAAACTGGGGTGTTGTATCTCAATATCAATAACATACCTCGTAAAAGCCATGGTTTAAGGTTTCTAAACGATTAATATATCCCATAGGTCGTGATATCCAACCAATAATTCAGACATTTTTGTATGATTTATGTGTCATACTACTGTTCTAAGGTTTACGTTATTAACCTACGAATTTATGTGTGACTTTTTACCTCAAATATTGTCCAAAAATGTCTTATCATTGTATCAAACATCGTAGATTTCAGAAGAGGAAAATAAAATGAAAAAGTTAATCATGAGTTGCCAAGGACATGAAAGAGAAACCGTGAATCAGATACTCGTATGGAAGGCCAAGTCAGACGTATACTAGATCTACCTTAATGTTTGTGTTGTAGTTAATTGCGAACGGTGGTTGCAACAGTCAATTTAGGTTTCACTTGAGAGTCGAATTTGAATGTGTGCATTACGTTAATCATTTGTTTAAAGTGTCAAGGCGTGTGGTTACTCTTAACTGTAGTCATTTCTTTTGATTATGTTTTCGAGAAAGCGATTGGGTCGAACAAATAGCGGGTTGAATTATGTCAAAATCAAGTGTGTCATAAAGCGGCGGAATCAGGCTCTCTTTAATTTTGAGGCTTATCGAGCTATTGGAATCATGTTAAAGCCTGTTTATCTGTATTTTTTAAAAATGAAAAAATCCGATTATCTGGAATACATTGTAGATATTTGCAATTAAAGGGGAGGAGTCGCCTGGTGTAAGGGATGAAATTAGTGAAAAAAGGGCAGTCAAAGTTTAGTGACTTCCAAAGCTTGAATGGCATTGTCAACGGCAAATTTACTAATGTAGTGTCTTTTATCTATGATTATCAGTGATATCAAAGGAGGAATGTGTCTTGAAATGGATATAACAGTTGTCCAGCTATACAAAAGAACAACAATTGTCCAACGGCCATAAACAAGCCGTCTTTCTTAAATTTCATTATTATGACGAATGTCTCATTTCACCACAATTTCATCACAAACGCGTCATTTCAAAATTCATTGTGAGCTCTCTATAGGTCATATTTGTGGCACAGAGTGTCCCATAGGAAGGTATCATTGAGGTAAACTCTGCCTACGTGTCTTCTGGGAAACGACTTCGCTCATAAGGGTCGCTTGATTAAACGTTCTATGCTACACAAAGCTGCTTGATTGTTGTTGTTTTTTTGGTGACTCTTTCTTTGTGTATAAACTCATCTATAGTACTTGAGGGGGAGGTGGCCAGGTGGTGAAAATGACCCAGTCTTTGCTGGCTTATAAAAACGAAATACTTTTTACGACCTCATAGTACGATCAATTTAACGAAACGGCATCCCCCTAGCCTTGAAAATGTGCTGACAAGTCACTGTTTGACACCCGGTTCCACACAGCTTACTCATTTTAATCGTTTTCTAGAATCTTAACGAATAATTTAGTAATCCTATGTGTTATGGGTAATGGATGAAGGGTACTGTGTGGTTTAACTGAGTTCTAACGTTGAATGGCCTTATGAGGAAGATGGACCAGTGCTTAATACATGTTATTTAGGGAATGTGACCGATTTGTCACATGTACTTCCATGAAGACTTCACTGTGTTGACCAAAGTGGACATAGATACCGGTAATTATATTATTGTGCTTGAAAACAGTGACTTGTCTTTCTCACATTTCATTATGTTTTTGTAAAGGTGAGCCACTTTCTCAACATATGTTGGAATAAAGGGTCAATGTAATATGTGCTGTTTATTTTTTAATTTTAATAATGTGTATCAACTGTTCGGTTTTTGTACTTAAATTTGCACTTTTTGGGTTATACGCTGTCAATGTTTACCCGCATTTATTTTTTCTTGTTGTTCTTGGTGTGCTAGCTGAAAATGTTGGTTTTGTACTATTATAAGCATTTCAATTGATAGTGGCCAGCACAATCTGTATGTCAACAGTTGTACTTTGTTTGCTTTCGTAGCCCTGCAGCCTTGAGTTCTGCGGCCACGCGATGTTTACATTGTTATCAGTGTTTGAGTCAAAATCTGTCACTATAGCGCACAGGTTTTTGGGGGGCTTTTTTTGTTGCTTTCGTTGTTTTTCTTTAAGCCGAACGTTCTGGTTCAATCAAACATAGAACACACACACCTTGTTACACCTTGTCCTCAGTGTTTGTGTCCCTACAGTCGGAACATGTTCATCTCAGCTCCCCCCCCCCTCTTCAGGATCCACCCCAGAGTCTGTCTGCTTACACTCTCCATTATAATCTGGTTGGAGATCCGTCGGATTGGTCCGCACAGGTGGCTGCGTTTCCCTTCTCCTCTTTGGATCCCCTTCTCCTTCAATTTGCCTAGGATGTGGGAACAGCTATCCGCCCTATTCTTCCTCAAATTTCCCCTACAGTGGTTAGGACGGTTGGTGGGTCCAGTGTCAAATTCCCTCGCACTTTTGCTTCTCTAGCCAGCTTGTCTGCTCTCTCGTTGCCGGTTACCCCTGCGTGGCCCGGGCAGAAGATCTAGACCACTATGTCCAGGCGGCTCTCCCTGATTGTAGCCTTCCAGTCGGCATACAGCATCCTTTTCTTTACCTTGTGCAGTGTGCTCACAGAGTCAGTAATAATTACTGCTCGCTGATGGCTTGTGTTCTTGATCCAGTGCAGAGTCTCATTTATGGCTTTTATCTCAATACACATACTGGATGTTGCCAGTGCAGTTGCTCCGCTTGTTCTTTCACAACTACCCCATCAACTCTGATACTGAAGGCCCAGCCCGATTTGACTCCTCTTTTGACTGATCTATCTGTGAAGATCACAGCATCTTCATGTTTGCTATGATCTTCTATCAGGGTCTCAATTTCAGCTTTTGTAGCTCCAAGTGGCCAGATGCAACATTCTCTACCCAATGTTGCCTTCACCGTTATGTACTCTCCGAGTGCATCTTCGACCACGGCCATATCCCTGCCTCTCCGGATGTCTTGTATCTGGCAGCACTCACTGATGGTGTTCGTGGCTTGAGTCATCCAATATGCCCCCCTCTTTAGCCTTGATGTTATCTGCCGTCCCATTTTCTTATGTAGGGGATTCGTCTCGTCTGTGCTGACTCGTAAAAAGGCTTGGACGTGTGCCAGTTTGTGCCTCTCGTCTGCACAAGGGAAGTCTAGGATGTACCTCATTACTTCAGCAGCGATGTCTCGTGTGCACCCGAGGATAGCCCTCATTCCTTCATTTTGTAGCACATCGAGTCGTTGCAGTTGCACCTTTGATAGCGTCAAGAGTCCGAGCCCGTACTCTACGACAAAGATTACCAGTGTCTGGTAGAGGATGACAAGGATTTTCTGGCTCATCTTTGCGCAGACAGTTATGCCTTTTCTCACCCTGGAGATTGTTCTCGTGATGTGATCTTTGTCAAAAAAGGTGCGATCAAACGTGATGCCCAAGTACTTCAATGTGTGTTCCCTCTTCAGCATTCTGTCTCCAATCGAGATATATGTCATAGGGCACTGCTTGGTCATTCAGTGTACACCACAATACGCAGGCTTTGTCTGGTTTCCCTATTGTTTGCTCTACACCACTGTTTGAGTCTGTCGAGTCGTCCCATACTCTCTATAATGTAACGTAGCGGGTCTTTCCTTGCCTGTGTACCAGCACATCATCAGCGTAACTGAGTACACGTACGGGTACTTTCAACTGGTTGGGTTTTACCCCAATTGTATAGACGTTGAACAGAAGTGGCGAGAGTCCAGATCATTGTCGTACGGCTGGTGTGAACTTGGTAGGTTGCGAAGCCCAGCAACCAAGGCGTAGTGCTACCTTTCGTTTGAGCAGCGCTGCCCCAATCCATTGCACCAAATGTGAATCTACCATCAGGTTGACTAGAGTCCTCTTGAGGGTGTCGTACTGAATTCTGTTGTACGCAACTTCCAGGTCAGGTTCTTCTACCAGAGTTTCTTCCCCCCTTTTGAAGCCATATAAGATTATAATGAAAATCATGATTTTCCTCTTGCTTACTTTTTCTGTCTCCACTTGTTCCTTTGTTATTTTTGTTTTGTTCTGAAATCCAAAGTGCTTTACCATAGATTAGTTTAAATTGAATATTATTATTTGTTGTTATGTTATTGTTTCTTTCCCTTGCAGAGGCTAGTAAAACAAGTCTGTCGGTGACTTCAAGTATGTAAATATCACAAACGTAAAGAAAGAGAGAGAGAGAGAGAGAGAGAGAGAGAGAGAGAGAGAGAGAGAGAGAGAGAGAGAGGGAGAGGGAGAGAGAGAGAGAGAGAGAGAGAGAGAGAGAGAGAAGGGGGGGGGGGCAAATAAACAGCATACATAAAAAAGTCAATGAGGATACTTCTGCATTGATTATGGTCAGGTCTTGATCGTGCTGTAATTTTTAAAACTCTTTTCAAACAACTTTTAGAAAGCATTTAATACGATTTGGCCAAGACGTGAGGAAAAGTAGTCCTTGAGTAGTGAGAAAGGTATTGGCCGAGGAAAATTGAAGTAAAGACAGATATGGAGAGAAAGAAAGAAGAAAGAGAGAAAGAAAGACAGAGAGACAGATAGACAAAAACAGAGACAGAGAGAGAGAGAAAGAGAGAGAGAAAGAGAGAGAGAGAGAGAGAGAGAGAGAGAGAGAAAGAGAGAGAGAAAAACAGAGACAGAGATGGAGACAGAAACAGAAACAGAGAGAGAAGGGATTGAAGATGGATCGAAACACAGCGAGACATATAGACTTGGATACGAAGGGAGGGAAAGAAAGATGGAGATAGCTGTATGTGAGAAAAGAAAGAAAACCAAAACAGCAACAAAAAGCAATTAGAGCAGATTGCGTTTACATATCAGGTGGGAAATGAATAAGACTGAAGAAACGGTTTTAAAAAGTAATGGCAGCTCTAATTTAGGAACACAAAAAGATGACACGGTCGTTTAAATTCCCTTGCGCATTTTATTGTAACGACATTATTCCACGTTGCTGTATGACAGTAGCACCAATATATGGTAATGCATTTAAAAGATGTAGAATATCTGGAGAGAATCGACCTCCATCATCAAAAGAAATCAATTGTTTTAGGAACATTATTATCAATGACAAAAAACAACAACCGGAAAAACACAATAGCATAAAAATTTGAATCACAGTTTGTCTTATCAGGTCGCTGCACTTAACAATAATGTTTCAAAGCGATTGCTAAATACAATTAATTGAAATATATAAAATTAGAAAACACATTTCTGATTAAGGCTATTACATAATATTGCATGTTTATATTCGTGGCTCTCTTTCCCCCAAACATATGTGGGTCCGAGTTACCTAGATTGTAAACGGTAGTCGAGCTATAATAATGTAAGAAGTTTCCTTCTGCGTTTTTCTTGTTTGGAACTTCTCTTTTATGTATGTCTATGGACTTCCTCTCAGTATATATTCCATGTTCATCAAATTTAAGAAAACAACAACATACATGCACAGTTGTTAATGCTCAGACTATTGACAAAATTTCAATTATTATAGAGATTTGGTCTATTAACAATACTTGCCAATGCCATTCCTACCGTGTTGATACATCACAGTAAAAAGACGACAACATGTTGGAAAGCTATACCAAAGACAGTTTTGATGAGGATGATGATGATGATGATGATGATGATGATGATGATGATGATGATGATGATGATGATGATGATGATGATGATGATAATGATAATGATGATGATGAGTAGTTTTTAATATAATTTTTTATTTCGTTTGCTCGTATGAACGTGATTTGAAAATACGTATACCTAATTGAGGCTGTGAATGTTTTAATTGTTTGCCTGAAAATATAAGTTATCTATTTTTGATGCATATATTGAAATTTGATGCCTTATGTTTGGGAACAAAACTTAATAATAGAAAAAGCAAACCCAGAAGGAAACTCAAATCCAAACTACAACAATTTCATAGCGACAAAAATAAATCATTTTGAACCAGAATTAGATTACACATACAGTTCATTTTTTTTTTAGTGCAAAAGTCAGCAAAGTAAATTTTTTGTCTCTTGATACACACTGAAATTGGTCCAGCATAAATTTATGTTTAGCTGTGACATGCAAATTTTAAAATACAACCTTTTTTTGATCGTGTGACGTTTGACAGTTTAGGGTACCATGTGGATTCACAAAAAAGATTGTTCACGTATTCAAATAATGATAGTTCAAGTTTAAACTTGTTTTAAATGTTATTTTACTGGATATGATGGATTGAAATACAGTGTTACCTTCTCCTTATCCTTGTGACCACTTTTAATTGCCCTTTTTATTTTGGCTGTATCTACATCGTCTCACTCGGTTTTTATTAAGAAAGGGCTTCAAATCTGTATTAATTTGCAAATCATTGTTTCACTCGGTTTTATTCTGGCCGGATAGAACTTTGAACTTGTAGACGATGCCGTTGAGATCGAAGCAATATTTCTCCACCACTGCCCTAGACACCAGCTGCCAATATCCTTCTTTCTCCAGACGAGACATGTGAGGCTCCAGAAGGTCCTTGTACTGGCTGTGGTTCAGGTACTCTTCTCTCATCACTATACACACAAGTCCGCCTGTGGATTGCGTACACCAAACTTGAGTTGCAGTTATTTCATACAATTTATACTGCGAAAGCATGGGTATATCAGATATCTCATTGTACTCTCGATGAAAAAGCAGTATATCAAATTAATCATGAGTCACTACAGAATATAGAACAATCTGCAAGAAATGAAAACAAATCATACATTATGTAATGATCTGACGATGTAACCCTAAAAAGATAACACAATTCAGTTATCAAAACCATGTATCTTTCGGACACACTAATACCTAAGATTTCTATACTGGTAACTCTAAAGAGATCTTCGATCGTTTTTGCATACACGACTGTATCATTCGCGTATTTCAGGATAAAAATGTTACGACCGCCGATGATGTCTCTTTGCTGGTCTTGAGATTTTCTAAAATAACCCTGTGTACATGTTATATAGGAAGAGAGAGATAAGGTTCTGCAAGCATATATCTACTTAAGAGTTATTTTCCCCAATATTCTTAAGTACATTTTTCTGTTAAAATGAATTCGGAGTTAAAACACATGGAATTCAATTTATTTAGATAATACGCTCAGGTATTAAGTAATACTGTGGTCCCAGACTAAGAAGGAGCTCATTTGAAAAGGTGCCAAGAGCTTACCCGGCTTCACAACCCTAATGAGCTGATCCAGGCCATTGTAAGGAATGTGTCCTTCGCCCATACCTCCGGATGTCACAGCACAGTCGTAAGTATCTGACATAGTGAGGGATGGGATAAAAGTCATGACGTTATAAGCATGGAGAAATGTTATATTTGACTGTAAATACAATTGGTATCCTACGACACCATTGTTATACAAATATATTGCAAATCAAATTGAAGGGCACTTCCCCTCTGCATTTGTCGCGACATAGTGTCGAACAAGAATTACTATTCTCATTGTCAAGGCGGAAAGTAGATGTGTTTTTCTTCTCTTCTAAACAAGTTAGTCCACAACGACTTTCCACATCAAAACAAAATATTCAAATTTGATAAGTAACTATGTATATAAACGGTTCGTCAAACATAGAGTGGAAAGCAAGTGCCATACAAAGTTAATGTTTACAAACTTGCACGACTTACTGTCAGAACCAACTAACTGGTAGCTCAATGTTCTAGCTAAATTATGTATACCACTCGCATTCAGATGTGTTTTAATGAACATCTCACCATTCAGAATGGGTAACTTGTTACTATCCAAGTAGCTGCAGACGTGGTGATCGTAGAGCCTCTTCTGCCGAGCTCTTTCTAGCATTCCTTCGCTGGGGTCCAGGGCATCAATATGCTTAAACCCCATATTCCTGAGCTGAAAATGACAGATGAGTATTGTGTTTAACAATTATAAGTAAATTAATTGTAATATGATTTTAGATATCATTTCATGCCATCCTTGAAGACTACAAAATAGCAAGACATTTTCCGAAAAGGTCTAGCAAAATAATTTTTTAAAAACATGATACCTTTCCTTTCTAAAAACCCGTTCCTCTTACTTTTGCTTCAGGTTCTTTCATTGTGCCACCGTATATGTAGTATGATTGTTTGTTTTTTAAAACATTTTTGCATCAGCAGAGTTACTGTGTTCGGGTGCATTTTTGAGAATGTGAGGATGTAACGAAATAACCTCCTTCATATTAATAAAGTCTGCCACTGACTGTTTTCAGTGTGATTGTCCACACTACTCACGTTCTCGGCAACAAAACCCGTGCCAGCAGCGACATCAAGAATGCGCACGTCCGCTTTTTTTGATGAAGGAAAAAAGTCTGCTACCGCCTGGGCAGCTATCTCTGGGCCGCGGTACAGTTTTGGGTTCAGGTGCTGAGGATACCAAATAACCAAAACGTTTCAATAAATTATCTAATCTTTGAATTTAACTAAGTGTTGGAATCTTTCCAAAAGTTAGCTCTCACCTCACCACACAAATAGGTCATGTATGGGCCGAAGAATAGAGGTGTTACTGGAGAGTAACATACAGAGCAACTCCGTCAAAGCTGATCATTTCACGTAAGATTAAATTTTACGTTTGACTCTATTTTTCATCAAATTAACGTAACGAAATAAAACTAGCAGGTATCCTATTCTTTACAAAAAGAACTGACAAGAGACTGGTCTTGTTTAAAGATAAAAGAAACAGCGACGCTTAGACAGTACATTTGTGTAGATGGCCTTTGAGTACTCAGAGAAATTTGGTTCAAGCTTATCGTTTCACATATTATTCTCTTAAAATTTTACTTTCTTAAATTAACTTACTAGGTAAGCATGTTACCAGCAAAAATGCGAAATTATATAGTGCTTATAAACCCTTTTCAATACTGTGAGGGTATTTCATAGGCATGAACTCTTAAATAGGACAGATTCAAATGGATGGTGAAACTAAAACATCCCCCCAAATATTAAAAAAATAGAAATCCCCTAATGGGGTTTCAAGCACGGTCCATTTGCTCCGTAGTCAAGCATGATACCAACTAAGCAAACAGAACGATAAGTGTTACCTGATCATAATTATCGTCTTGACTCCAGCAGGAGTAGAACGTTGCCGTCTTCTCAGGATGACCCCCGTCTTGATACGCCTCTGCCAAGTGCTGCCGTGCGACCTCAATCGTCTCGTGAGACGTAGACATGGGAGATACCTGTGACAAAAATGCAATCTCACTGTTGGCGCTCAAAATAAAATTGTCTCCCTCTCCCACATCTTTTTTTCACACTTCTGAATCTTGTTAACGCACCACATATGGCCTTATTTCTAGAAATAATATTTATTAGTGTCCATAACGCACAACATCTTTTGTTGTCTAATCCCCATAATGCTCAAAATATGGTCGTATTTCTTAAATTAATCTTCATAATTAAATGGTATTATCATCGTCATTATCATCACTAATGAGAAGTACAAAAGCGTACTGGGACTTTGGAACTTATGAAGTGCCAATTGCAATTGAATCATAATCTTTATTACTAATATCGTGTTTTTTTTCAAAGCATAGACAAAAAATAGAATAGACAGTCTAATTATCTCCACATTTTTTTTTTTCGGAAGATTTTTTTGTGCAGCAACAGTTTCAGTGACACATTACTCAAGCTAAATAGCTACTTCCAAAACGTGTCTGCATACTAATCATTGCGACAGAACGTCCTGAGCGCAGAGGCGCCTGGCGAATCGTCTGAGCACTTACTGACAACAACATTGGTCTTCGTCTGCATGAAGGACCAATAACAGTGACTGCTTTTGTCGATCAGAATCTCCCAAATCTAATCTAGATGTACAGTTGCAATTTGATGTCCTGTTTCACACAGAAAATCACAAATTACGAAAAAGAAACAACAAACAAAAAACTTACCCCGACGACTGACATATTCTTAGTTCTAGCAGGAGAATCGAGTTGAAAGCGAAATGATGATACTCAGAGTGTTAGGCCCTCGTCAATTTGCGTCGTTTGATCTTGAGGTAATGCGCACCACCGGTATTCTGAGACGTATTTTCTTTCTTGGCAGGTTGTATTACTTCTATTGACAGAGTATCCGTTGCTTTCTGCTTGTGCATTATATACCTGCTGGCGTCATTTCAGGACACGGGGGTTACTGGCTCTCTGTTTGTTGATTGGCTAAACTTTTCACGTGGTCATGAACTTTGTCAGATAACACGGCACATCTTAGAGTGCGTGTAATGTAAAGACAGCCTTGAATTTCCATTCAAGGTAAAGCAGGGTATTTTATAACTGTGAAACGCAGAACAAAAATTAAGGCTTTAACCGAGTCAGAAGTTTATTGACTCTTTGGGATGGCGGAAAATAGAAAAGGAGATAAACAGAGATAGGGAGAGATGCAGTGGAAAGGGAGAGGGAGAGAGAGAGAGAGAGAGAGAGAGAGAGAGAGAGAGAGAGAGAGAGAGAGAGAGAGAGAGAGAGAGAGAGGGCAAGGGGGGGGGCAGTGTACAGAAGAGAGGTGAGATAATTACAAGAGAAGGGGGGTGGAGAGAGCAAAGATAACGATTACCCACTCCGGAATGTAAACTTTTGGCAGGTTGTTACCCGTTTATTCTTCGTGCACGAGCAGTCTGCAATGTCATTTAACATTCCAGAGTGATATGATGACAGTAGTGGTGTCTCCAATTTTCATTTTAATACACTGTGGATAAAAGAAAACCTATATTCTAAAAGGAGTCTGCAAAAAGGAAGATATATTTTTATATATACAGAGAGAGAGAGAGAGAGAGAGAGAGAGAGAGAGAGAGAGAGAGAGAGAGAGAGAGAGAGAGAGAGAGAGAGAGAGAGAGAGATGGGGGGGGGGGCAAGAAAGGACGGGGTGATTTTTTAAAAATTATTCCTTTTTTATAGGGGGGGAGTAACCTTGTTTAGTTGTTGTTGTTTTTTTTTTTGTATAAAGGCGATTAGAAACATGTAAAACAGTACTCGTTGCTAATGCTTTTCCTTGGCTTTGAAAATCAATATAAGAGTATCAGCACTGCTAAACTTGTTCGTGTCAGTACTAGTACTATGCTTAAAGACCGCTACCAATCTTTGTTGGAAACTAAACCCATTTTTGAATAATTACACACAGAATACCACGTTCATAAACAGGAGTCAAACGATCTCGATACATTCGTGGATAGAACTTGGCTAATATTTCAGACATTTAGATTAGGACAAATGATCCTTCAATTATTTCAGAATTGAAAACCGTCCTATCGTTGTCAAATAATAATTCTGCGCTTGTTTCTGACAAACTATAGCCATGTCTTTAAATTATTTTGTTTTTTTGTTCTCTAAATATGAACATTAAAAATAAAGAAAAGAAAAAAACATTTGCACGCACGTGGTGAAGAACTTCTCAGCGCAGATATGTTGTACAATTGCTTTGCAAAGGGAAACTACTGACTAAAAGTGAACTAAACAATAGAAAGGCTTACAATACATACTAATTTTATTCTCAGTATTATTGATGAGATTTTCACTATGTCATTGGAACTTCAGGTGCAAAAAGTCCTGACAAATAGGGGTTTTTTTCATGAAAGTTGTGCAGATTTTTCATTAATGGCAGTTTAAGAGAATCAATTCTAAGTGTATTTGATGACATAATTCAATGCACAACAAAGAGAGAGTCATCAGGTATTACTGTGTCACTGATATTGCTTCAAAGCGTTTTAAAGTATGTTAAAGAAGTCTATACTTTTTTTTAGCTGGCTTCCATTGTAAGCAATTATTGTCATGTTGTAACGTTGTAAGGCGGCAATTAAAATCGGGGGGTGCCTCTCAGGATGGTTGAAAGCAAAGAAAGGAGTCAGAAAGGGGTGATTTATCAGTCATTTGTTTTTTTGGTGCTAGTTCGGGAACTTTATTTTTCAATAAATTCAGAAATTGTTATAATCATTACGAACACAGTATACACAACACCACCAGTTACAATAGGAGTGGAAACACACCAATGTGTTGTTAACATCCCACTGTGTTTAGATAATTAAAACAACTCAACCCGAACAATCAAGTTAAAAGAAGAATGTTAAGTTTTTGTTTTATAGTTAATGTTAACCCCCCTCAAAAAACAAACAAACATGCATAGCACTTGATATTGGCTAAACTAGTCACAGACAGTGCCAGTTGTCATCTGAAGGCAACACCTATCAGGAACTGGGAGATATGATAATGGTTCTGCGATTGTATTTCAGCTCAGACGTAGAAGCCTATTGATTCAATATCTAACAACTAGGAAGCTAAAATAACGGATACTGTACAACACGCCTAAATGAGGTCTCAATTTGGGGAAAAAAGTATTTCCTTCTACCCAAATGAGCTATACAATGCAAGAACTATGGCTGGTAGAATCAGTATCGCTCGAGATTGATTTCGTCATGCTTCAATAGATATAGACGAAGAAAACAAGTAACAAAAATAGGCAAGTAAAAGTATTAAAAGTGATATTAAAAGTGAAGTTTTGTGTAGAATTGGCGTAGAACAAGGACGACGAAGACTGATAAAAGTTCAAACGAGTAATAAACGTGTTTATTACATAATTTGTCATGGGGCAATTACAAGTCTGGCCCAGGCCCCAAACGAAACTGGACACAATTGAAGCCCGTCCCTGAATTATTTAGCAATGTACAACAGTCTTGAAATATTATGTAATACCACCTTTATTTCATTCACAATCTCAATACATGGCTCTAGAATCTTCTAAGCGCCCGGAAATGCTCACTTTAAACAGCAAAATGATAAGGGAATACATGTTAGGCATGGCGTATACCTAAGAGCAGGGGCGAAGGCTGACTTGTTTGACAGGGTAATCAAAGTGAAACGGGACCAGATATAGATCTATATGGCCTGTAGATATCACATAAGAATCTTACTCGAGGCGGCGACTCTGACTGAGTTGTAAATGAAAACAAATCTGGAATTCATATTGTATGTTCAACCGCCAAAATAATCGGGAAAGTATCTTATTAAATATCAGTTCCAACTAAAATTAAATTAACTTTAGATGTGAATACATAAACACAAAGCAAAGAAGCAGAGATGTCAGTACTAGATCTATATGTTATAGATCTACCAGAGAGTCTAACTCTTTGGTAGAACATGACAATTATCTTTTTTTAAATTTCACATTTGGCTGTTTTTGTTAGCCTTTTGCGGCCAGGAGCTGGTGTCATAATCGAGGTCACGATATGATTATAGGACAGTAAAAAGTCGAGGAAAAAAAACAAGCACATGCAGCAGTAAAGAGATTGTTAGGAGTTAGTTCCCCTGACATTTGTGAGGTAGACTCGACCAGTGTTCGTTAGCTTACTTAATCAGGGCTTGTGATTGATTTTAACTGTGGCCCCAAAGGGGTGAACAGGGTATATGTGGCAATGAAACAGCCATGACTGCTATGCACATGTTCCCTCAACTGTATTGGTAGATTATTTCAGCCTCACTTTAAGCTTACTTAATCAAAGCTTGCGACTGAATATGGAGTGGCCCGAGAGGGGTGAAGAGGCTATTTATGTGGCCGTGAAACCGTTTTGAATGTTAGGCATGCTCATTGTGGATTACGAACCTCTTTTTACTGTTAATTTAAGAGGTTTACGTTTAAGGATGAATTTGACAGCGACAATGTTTCAAAATTAGGAAGGGAAGCAGTGATTATTTGATTATATAGACGCTTCGCCCCTGTCTAAGAGTGTAGAGTTGTGTATTGTTTTTTACTAATAGTATGTATGAAGATAACATATCTATTGCTGTTGCTTCGGAAGCAACCATGCAGAATAGACTGAGTATACTCTTTAAATTATAAGTAATACAATCTCCAGTAGCATCTGTAAAAGATGAAAAGTTCAAATTCATAATAAAAGTAAACACTATGGAGTACGTGACTTCATAGAACACATTTCGTAGACTGTTTTAAAGTAAGAGGGTTTTGGAATTAAATCGAAAGTCTCGTTAAAGGCAAAAAATAATAGAAAATTCAATGAAACGAAACAGTGGTTCTCTTCGGTGTAACACGAAAAGAACTACTAACTTGTTAATCAAACAAAACATATCCTTAATTGCTCAGGCACACGCTGTTGTAAACGCAGGATATGACAATCCAGTATATTTTCATTCATTCATTCATTCATTCATTTATTCATTAATTCATTCATTCATTCATTCATTTATTTTTTTATTTTTTTAAAGCTTTTGCTCGCCCTATTTTTAACAACCTCCCACTCTTTAAAAACACCCTTTGTCAAAGGCTGTTGTGCAAATTGCACTCGCGTGCAATTACACGGAGAGGTATAGGGACGTAACTGATATAATATCAGGCGCATTTAAAATTAACAGGCTTGTCTTTTCCTGTCACATGCATATTGCGAATATTTCGTCGACTGTAATGTCTGAGTCAATGACAGATACAGTTCCTTTTACGGTCCTTGTCTGTACTATGTGCATTGCTGTTGTTGTTGTTGTTGTTTGTTTTTTTTGTATACACTAGTGAAGGTTTAACTTCAGGTTCAATAAAAAGAGTGGTCTTCCAAATTATATTGACGGCAGAGTATGTATTGAGTTTTCTTGGAGCTATTTACATGCTGTAACGATCATAGAGTCCGCGATTGATAATAGGTAGCATTAACTTGTAAATTATACACAAACGTATTGAGAAATGCTTACTTATTACCAATGTGCACTGTATTTTAAAAAAAACTCAAATTGATACTCATCTAATTCTTATATTCTTATACTAGATCTATGTATTTACAAAATCGACTGATAGAGCAGGTTAAAGAAAATATAACATTATCAAAGTCATCACCTAGAAACAGCTCCATCGTGAATTTTCGGCATTATTTATTAAATGATAGGGAATCTGGTGTTTACTCATCTTTAATTTTGTTGTAACTCTATTTGAGGGGTTGAGAATCCGGGTTCTTGTACTGCCTCTCAGTAGAGAGAAAGGGAATCTAACGTAAGCACCAAACGAAGAAGGAAACTGATATCAAACGTATCTACATCATCACCAGTAATATCATCATCATCATCATCATCATCATCATGAGAAAAATTGAAGAAATGAGAACGACACAGTTAGGTCACATTTTCCTGGAAATAGAGTACTGCATATCTTTCGAAAACGGCGACAAAAGGGCTATCTATTAATAACACTACAGGAGCGCTATTCTGTTTCTACGCACTGTTATTCTTTTTTTAAAGATGCGAAACCAAAGTGTAATAGCAAGGTCAACTCCTGAAAAGATTGATTCAAGCCTCTAATCCGAATGTATTTGTATGTATTTCACGAGTGAGGTTTTTGCTTTTTTTAAAAAATCGTCTAAATGTTACTTGACCTTAGTGTTGTTACCAGGTCTCCAGCTGTAAAACATTTTTTTTAATCTTTTTTTTTTCAAAACATATCTTTTTGTGTTTTTAGACCATCTAAAAGTCAGTACCACATCAATACATTTTTTATTCATAATTTGTCAATGCTCAGCACCGAATAAGGATGCTGGACCCAAAATAAAAGATAAAACACTTTTACAACCCCACTTGCAAGGCATGAATACGTATCACGAATGGCTCTTTCATGATATTTAGCTACAGTTTTTAGCTTACACCTTTTATATTAAAACACAACTTGGAGGATTTGTTGTCAACCGCAGAAATGGTGAAAGAGAACTGTGAGAGACCTTGTATAAACAATTTTAATTTCATGCATAGCGTTAGCAAAAAAGCCCATATTGGAACAGGTCTAATATGCATGTCTGCCTTTCTGAATCCTTTTGACCTGAAAGTCCTGAACAGCTAGCATTTGTGCAATGACACACATTTTATCTTTGAACTTGTTCTCAGAGATAAATTTATAACATTGATTGTGCAGGGAGTCCGTCAGTGTCTACGAATCAGTCACGTGTCTATTAACAACATTTTAGGACTATATTTTTAGTTTTCTTAGAGAGACTTTGATACATAAATTCTCATCACAAACTCACTAACAATTTTCCTCTAATTAGAACCAACAGTTGCTCTTTTCGTGTAAAATGTGGAGTTTCTGGATGGGCAGTTCTTTTTTTAAAAAGAATTATCAACTAAACGTTGGCTTCATTCATTCTTAATTGCTTGGTTGAACTGTGATGATGATGATGATGATGATGATGATGATGATGATGATGATGATGATGATGATACGGATGATGAGGAGGAGGAGGAGGATGATCATGATAATGTCAAAAACTCACACTTGATTTGTATAGTTTAAAACGTAGGTGGTTTATTTTATAAATTATGTAAGTAGCAACATATTGTGTAATCTGTGGGAACAAAACTTAATACCGAGATTGCAAAATTAAATGAACACTTAAACGCAATTGCAAAAAAGTGTTTCTTCATCATAGGGACAAATCAAATGTTGTAGAAAGCAGAATCATCTTATATATTTGTATCCTTTTCGTAAGAATCCAGAAAATTAGAAATGCTATAACATGCTTTGGAACCTGTCTTACGCATTGTTAACAATTTCAAACTTAATGATTAAATCAGCTGGGCAGATAGGGATTGTTAAATCCAACAATTATTGGTCATCGTGTAAGTTTAGACAGTGCAGAGTACATATATGGATCCACTATAAAGATTGCACTTTAATAACGCAAAGTAAAAATAAAATGTAGCAAGGGTATCATTTTCCTGAAGGATTCTGCTTAGGTCATTCAAACCTTTAATTTCGTTTTTTGGAGATTTTTTGTTTTCAGTACTGTGTTTTGTTCCAGTATTTTTCTGAAGGTAATTTTTAATTGCTCATTTAAGTTTTTGGTCCTACATTATGTCACTCGGTATCGTTAGGAAGTAGCGTTAAATCTGATAATTTGGCAACCACAAAAAATGGTTTCATTCTGTTTTATTCTGGCCGGGAAGAACTTTGAATTTGTAGACAACGCCATTGTGCTCCAGGACGTATTTCTCCACCACAGTCCTAGAAACTTTCTGCCAATGACCTTCTTTCTCCAGACGAGTCATGTATGGCTCCAGCAGGTCCTTGTACTGGCTGTGGTTCACGAACTCTTCTCTCATCACTATACACACAAGTCCTCCTGTGGAGTTTGTACACCAAACTTCAGTTCTATGTGTTCATTATTGTCCACATCATAAAAGCATTGGTATATCAACCAGATCTATGTTTCCTATAAAGGATATACAACAAATCAAATTAGTCATAATTTCTAAAATATAAAAACCCCATAAAAAGTAGATATAATACAAACATTATAAAATGAAATAAATCTACTAAAATACAGACCTGGTTATATTAATTCAAATAAAACCAAACCGCTGCAGCTTGAGTATCTGTGTTGAATCATATTGGAACCTAGGATTAATATCGCGATAGTCAAGCTACCGCTGATGGCCCCTCCCCCCCCCCCCCCCAAACAAAAACCGATTTAAGAATAAAAAAGACAGTGGTCTATTCTACTCCGGGAAGCGTACGTTTGACACACAAAAAAATAGAGTTACACAGACACCCTGAAAATGCCTGTGAAGGACTTCAGCACAACTCCTTCGACATGTGCCAGAATTAGTCCTATTGGTCACAGCAGTAGCCACAAGTAATGATAACCTTTAACTTTTTAAATTCGTGTTTGCTGGAGAAATATTCTCCTCTGTGGTTGTAATAGGCATTGTCAGACATTGGTGGAGCAGATATTTTTATTATTATTACTCTTTTGGGATTTAGTTGCTTCATGATATTTTTGAATCAATATCCTTAGGTTACCATAAAAACGTAGTCTTTATAAAATAGAATCTGGAGTACAGCAGCAAAATAACGTGACATTTGATTGTTGACGCCATAAGCCCAGTTACTTAGTGAGAATGTAGTCTCAGGTCTCAAGAAATGTTCATTAAAAAGTGAGAAATGCTTACCTGGCTTCACAACCCTGACAAGCTGATCCAGACTATTGTAAGGAATGTGTCCTTCGCCCATGCCTCCGGATGTCACAGCACAGTCGTAAGTATCTGACACAATGCAGGGCAGTTTTTAAAAAAGAAGCCATGCAATTATTATTAATAATATAATAACTGAATGTTGAAAACTCACTAATATCCAACGAAATATTTGCAGTACAAGTACCGTGTGGCCATATAACATAATAAGGCAGTTGCGAGCACCGTGAAATATTTACCAAACAATAGTTACCAAGCAAACGTCTTAAAAATCAAGGTTAAAGGTATTTAACTTGGTGTGCATTTGTCGCACTATAAACATAATAATGTCAATCACAAATTATAATTACCACGGTGAAAGTGTAAAAATCTTTATTTTCTGACAAGAAGGTGTATGAGTGTGCCTATATGTTTTGTGTATTAGAGTTAGAGTGATCAAAGGAAAAGCGAGAGACAGAGCGAGAGAGAGAGAAATAGAGAGAGAGAGAGAGAGAGAGAGAGAGAGAAAGAGAGAGAGAGAGAGAGAGAGAGAGAGAGAGAGAGAGAGAGAGAGAGAGAGGAGGAGAGTATTACAGATCCGTACATTTTTGGGCTTAGGGAGTCTTTGCCATCATCATAAAACTTGTTCATTTACCTTCATTTTTACCTAAACGTAACTATTTATCTATCTTTAATAGAAGTAGAGATGTTTCTGTCAAGAGGGGTTGGGGGACCTGTTAGCTGTGGTAAAATTAATAAGAAAACGGGCTCCTATGTTTGGTGAGTGTCCCGGAGTATTCTTTGGAAAATGCAAATATACCATTTTCTGTGACTTTGATCAAGGCTATACAGTAAAATCCATACAGAAAAGTGTTTAAAAAGGATATTAATTTATGTAGAAAATATCGAGGTAAATTACCCAACCGCACAACAATGTCGGCTTAACAGATAATAATATTGTCATTTTGACGAACGCCTGATTTGCTCAGGACGCTACACATATAATCTAAATCCACTCTTGTTTGAACATCTCACCTTCAAGAATAGGTAACTTGTTAGTATCTAGGTAGCAGCAGATGTAGTTATCGTAAAGTCCCTTCTGGCGAGCTTTTTGTAACATGCCCTCACTGGCGTCCAGGGCATCGAAGCGCATAAACCCATGTTTCTTGAGCTGAAAGTAAGAGGCGATTGTTAATTTTTTGCAATAAAATTGAAGTAACAAAATGTGATTTAGTGTCAGTTCAAGGTTTATATAGTGCTTGAAAGCTATACAATATGCCACAATACTAACAATGCCAATATACATATGTGCAAAAAAAAACGATCTTACAAAGCCAGAAAGTGGCACTTATTGGATACGTCTATTTGCAAGTGCTGTACAATTCTTACTAACTAGAAAACAAACCCCCCAAAAATCCAGAAAACATAATCTCTATTCATAGTAAATTCTTTGCATGTTTGAGAATGTTAGGGAGAAAAAAATTCCTTTCTGTCCGATAAATTAATTTTCCATTTACTGTCATTGTCACACCACTCACGTTCTCGGCAACAAAACCCGTGCCAGCTGCAACATCAAGAATGTGTGCGTCCCCACGTTTTGATGAGGGAAAGAAGTCGGCAACAGCTTGGGCAGCTATCTCTGGGCCGCGGTACAAGTTTGGGTTCAGGTGCTGAGGATACCAAATCAAAACTTTCAATAAGTATTATAGTTTATCCAGATATTATATAGATATGCTACCTCTAAAGTTTGGAGTTCTCCAGGGTCCAGTCTTTGGTCCTGTCATCTTTACAATGTACACGCAATGTCTGAGATCAATATTTTCTTGATATGCCCTCAATTTTCATCTTTATGCAGATGATACACAGTTGTGTGGATTGACTACTACTGACAATGTACTCAATCTCACAGATAGAATCCCCAGATTGATGTATCAATGATATTAGGAAATGGATACTCAAGAACAAATTAACATTAAATGAGGAGGAGATTGAAATATTATTTATTCGTAGCAACACGTGCAATTAAATCGACAATATCAGTAAATAAACATGAAAGAGCAGTCCAAACTAAAATTAAAAACATTTAGGAGTTGTGCTAGATCGTATTATGTCAATGTAATCCCATGTATCTAATCTTTGTAAAAATCTATATCTCCAACTGAAGAAAATAGGCAGCATTAGCAAATATCTATCTGTTGATGTCACCAAAACTTTAATAACGTCACTTATATTGTCAAGGCTTGATTACTGCAATTCCTTATTGGCTGGAAAACTTGATGAACAGCTACAACCATTACAAAGAGTACAAAATATTGCTGCCAAAACAATTACTAAGAAACTAAAGCATGATCATCTGACTCCTATTTTTTTTATTAAACTACACTTGCTCCCGATGAAAGAGCGTATCATATATAAGATCTGTGTAACTTGCTACAAGTGCTTGCAACGTTCTTTTTTATATTTTGCCCCATTTGTTTGGAAAGGGCTTCCAAAACCTATCAGAGAAGCAGATAATCTAGAAGCTTTAAAGAAAACACTAAAAGCTGTTGAGCGTCGTAAGTTTGTATGAGCGTATGTTCGTATGTGTGTATGTGAGTATGTATCTGTGCATGTGTATGTGAGTGTGTGCGTGCGTGAGTATGTGTGTGCACGCGTATGTAAAACTACGTGCCTATTAAATTGATTTGTAATTTCATGATATGTTCCATTTTAAACGCATAGAGCATTGCATAAGATGATATACGCTTAGTAAAAGCAATCCATTATTTATTGTTATTATTATTTGGATGTAGGAACCTGACAAAAGGCTTGTGTATTCAGTATCTGTTATAGACGCCATGCAGTAAAGTAGTACAAAGTTACACATACTCCGAGCTTTGAAAGTTTTCCCAGAAACGTTTATTTGAACACAGCATTAAAACAACAAATACATTAGTCTATATCAAATAAACATGATTCGTGAAGCACCATTCATTTCTTTGATCTGATGCCCTCAAACAAAGCTAGATTATCCAGATTGTTCTCTATCACCCATCTGTTTAAATTCTACGAGTAACAATTTGGTCTTGGGCTACCCCTGCCTCGTTTTCCTGAAAGTGAGATGTTCAAGGTTCTTCTATTCAAGTATCCCAAAAACTGATATTTTCCTAATTGTGTTTGTCAGCGATTTGTACATGTGGGCTTCAACAATACTAGTTCTTTTTCTTTCAAGAAATGTTCATCGGTCACTGAATAAATACGATTTATGTTGGTTCTTATTTTATTTTCACTGTCTTTAATGGTTGTACACAATAAACGGTGCATATAACTTAATTTTAGCTTGCTTCATAGACATTACATTTAGTCATAGTTATTTATCTGTTCTTTATGTGGGAACTTAAGTATTATACGCATTGGTATATACTTGATTTTTAAACTGTTCACTTGTTTAATCTATTCACCTTCGTTTATGATATTTCAATTACTAGGAATTAATGCTTTGTTATATGTTATATTGTAATGATCTTTTTTCACATTGAACTATAACTCTTTATGGTCTTATTCTGTTACAAAAGGATCAAAAGCAATTGCAGTTTCATTTTTTAATTTGATATAAAAACTGAGTCATCTTAACATTTGTTGTTATTTATGCTCATTTTGAGACTTAAAAATGATTATGTATTTCTAAAATTTGAAGACCTTAAAAAAACAGGGGCCTAAGTAAAAAAAACTGCAATAAAAATGAGTTTTTGGTTTCTATAACTGGAGAATACATTCCTGCATCTATTGATAGTGCACTTAAAACTCAACTGTTAACGCTGTAGCGAGGAAAAGCGGAAAACCTCAGTGTATCCCAACATTAAATGTAGACCGAAGTCCATTTCTTTTTCCTGCTTTGTCATTTCAGCCAAAATTAACTTAGGCATAGTCGTCTTGTTCTGAGGTCATTTATGGTTTCGCTGTATAAGTTAAAGAAATCGGGTGACATGCCACATCATTGCCTCATCCCTTTGTGATCTTGGAGAGACTAAAAAGTCCCCGAAAGCTGAGTTTAAGACACCCCTTTGCGAATTCGAACTAGGGCCTTTAGGCTCTGAGTCTAGCGTAATATCGACTAAGCTAAGGGTGTGTACCGTGTTACCTGATCATAATTATCGCCTTTACTCCAACTGGAATAGAATGTTGCCGTCTTCTCAGGGTTGCCTCCGATTGTGTACGCCTCTGCCAAATTGTCCCTGGCAAATGTAACTGTTTCTTGAGATGTAGACATAGTAGGTACCTATGACCAAAAAAGAAAAAAAAAGAAAAATGCAAATTGGATAACTGCTGACGGCTATTAAAAAACACTGTTGCCCTATCCCACACACCTTGTCACACTTTTGATTCGGCATAATACACAATTTTTGTTCCTATATCTAGGCTGAATGTTCTTTAATCGAACACAATATCAACACTGTTGAGAAATAAAAAAACATCCAAACACTTTGGAAGGTTACAGTAAAATATGAATCATCAATTGAAAAAGAATTATCAGGCAAGAAACGGAAAAAACACACCAAAAAAACCAACCAAACAAAAGTTGATTACGACAGACTAAAGTATTTTTAAAAATAAAATATTTAAGATATTATAAAATAGTATCTTCGACATTTTATCCCTTTTGCTTCTAAAGGAACGTATAGAACCATCATGACCATCATCGTCATCAGCATTTTTTTCTTCAAAGGCCAATTGCATAAGACGATCTATACTATTGCAAAAAATCGATAACTCTCAATTCTCCCTTAACTCCTATGAACAAAGTTTGCTAAAGAACAACTATTTCATCGACATATTAATCGTCAAAAATCTTTCAAATCTTCTCCAAAGATACAGTTTCAAGTTGACGATAAGTTTATAAATAGAGGAAAAACTTACTTTGACGACTGAATATATTCAGAGATAATGGAATGAGAATCTGGTTTGAATTCGAATTGATGAAGCTGAAAACGTAAGGTCTTCTACAAACGTATCACCACCATTGAGAGACACGTCTTTTATGTCGGGAAGTTAGATTACTTATAGTGACCGAACATCTGTTGCCTTTGTTTTTGCAACACATGCCTCTTGTCATCATTTTAGGACACTGTCTGGCTCTCTTTTTTTATGGTTAGAAGTATCACCTAGTTGACGATCCTTGAACGCGCTTTATTATTCAGACAGCCTTGTATTTTCACTCTAAAAGAGCAAGTTACGAAACGTTCAATAATAAAGAAAATAATAATAATTTGCGGCTTTAATCTAGTTGGCAGGGTCGTGACTGCGTGGAATTAAAGAAGAATTTTGGTGCAAGACTGAAAAGAGAAAGAGAGAGAGAGAGAGAGAGAGAGAGAGAGAGAGAGAGAGAGAGAGAGAGAGAGAGAGAGAGAGAGAGAGAGAGAGAGAGAGGGAGAGACGAGGGACGAACAGTTTTAAAAGGAAAAAAATATTGCTTTTACAGGGAAAAGTAATTATCTTTGTCAAATTAAAAAACAAAAGAATATACGTCCAGTTTTAAAAACTAATGAGTCAGTAAACCATAACCATC